ATAATAATAATAATAATAATAATAATAATAATAATAATAATAATAATAATAATAATAATAATAATAATAATAATATAGATATGTACCAACAGTATTTTCCAAGACTGTAACGTTTTCAAGATCAAATTTACGATGAAAAGTGAATGTATTATCAATCAAACTTAGACTATTTAATATTATATATTATTGATTATTATTATTAAAAACTTATCGTAGCGCAATGAACACAATTAATTATTATTATATATAAGTAAAAGTACCTTGCATAAATCAAAATATCAGAAAATAAAAAAAATTCGCGCTCTTGATGATTTTTCCGGCATATCTATATTATATATTAATAGTATTAGACAAATTTAATACATAAAATTACATTAAAAAATTAATATAATTTTATTAATCACCTTTTTCACCCTTCCTCTTTTAATGAAAGTTCTACCAGGTATTAAAACTGCTTCATCAAATCCAGTTAGAAATCTTTGAATTTCCAACATAGCTATAAACATTTCATGTTGACGAATTGTTTCATTAACAAAAGTTGCAACATTTTCAATAACATGATAAGCTTTCTTTAGATTAAGATAATCAGAATGCGAATCAGGTGTTTTCTTTAGCAAATCCTCTAATAGTAATTTATATCTAGGGATTCGTTGAACTGGCATTATTAAATATGCTTGCAAAGTAAGACCTTTACATTGTCCTGTTTTAATCACATCCTATTATAATAATTATTATTTTTGTCAGTAGGGAAAAAAAAATTTTAGATCAAATATTTGTCAAAAAAAAAAATTTAAAAAAGATTTTTTTTAGTAAACTCAATAACGTACTCTTAAAAAAGCAGTAAAATTTGGATTATCCCTTAATTCTGCATCAATTACTGCAAGTGCCGAATTAAAATTTTTTACATAAATAGAATACATCTTGAAAAATGGCGCCTAATTAATTTAATCAATCAATCAATCAATCAATCAATCAACCAACCAATCAACCAATCAACCAATCAACCAATAAATCAACTTATTAATTCATCAATAAGTTTTATGGACTTACCATATTAAGGAAAATGTCTCCTAAACAACCATCCTCCGGATTCCAAAATTCATCATCATCTGTATTCCCCTCCAATGATCCAAAAACCCTCTCCTCCAATCTTTTAAGCAATTCAGAATTTACACTTATCAAGTCCAACATATTTGCAAATATTTTGTTTATTGTTTTTTTACTTAGAATTGGATTTAGTGTAGAAAGAGATTTAAGTAGTGGATTAAGGAATAACTGTGCATGTGTTCAAAAAGAAAATTAGAACATGTTGATTTGTTATATTAATCAATTATCATGAAAATTAGATAGATGGGCTTATTTTCTATATATACCTTTTGAACAAGTAACAAACATTCAACGTAATGGCGTTCAGTAGTTAAAATTTCCAATGCAATATGCAATCTTTTTTGCATAATATCATTAATACTCATTCTGATCGAGGCGCGAGATATTTTTTCGTTGAATTGAAATTTTGATAAAGTTGAGACTCTTTTAGGACTGGTGTCGATGAGATCCTGATTCAAATGATTAGATGTCATTGTAGTAGTGGTGGTGGTAGTGGCAGTGGTAGTGGTAATGGCAGTGGTAGTTGCTGTTGCTGTTGCTGTTGCTGCTGTTGCTGCTGTTGTCGTTGTAATATTATTGGATGATGCACTAGTGCTAGAATCGTTGTTATGAATAATAGGCATAGATGCACGACGTGACGTGGGATAATATCGATTTGTGGGATTGTTTGATACAGATTCGTTGGTCACTGTTGGTACTGAAAATCGATGATGATGATCGGGAAGATTGGTATTATTGTTGATGTGTTGTTGTGAAGGATTGTGGAAATCGAGTGATTTCCTTTTATGATTTTTATAGTTAAATTCACTTTGACAAGGTGATGCACTTAGGCTTGATGCAGTGTCACACAGACTATCACGATGACTTGTAAGTATGGAAGCCGAAAATGAAGATGACAAGGAATGAGACGAGTCCGATAAAGCATCATATTCGTTGTCTACATTTGTAGCCGAAGAAACACTCGAAACCGGTCTACTTGAACCTGTTAAAGTAGGCGATAATGTTAAATTATAATTATCTAGTAATTGAGGATCGGAACCGCTTATTTCATTGATTGTCGATGGTAATGATGACGACAAGGAAATATCAATTAACCTTTCACTTCTTTCTGATGATTTGATGCCATTAATACCATTATTACTACTTATGCTACTATTATTGTTGTTGTTGTTGTTGCTTAGTTTTGTTTGAGTAGAATCTTTATGTACAAAAATAGAAAGTCTAGACTTGGCAGTTGGCATTTTGTTTTCAAGTATTGGAGTTGGTTGTATTAATGTTTCTTCTGCCTCAGAATTTGTGATAGGGCTATTTAATATCCATGACTGTCTCATGTCTGGAGATATTGCTTTACGTACAGAGGGAGAAATAGGTATGAAAAAATTTGGGAATGAATTGTTGATTGGCTCGTTTACATTGCTTCTGGGGTCGAGTATAAGTGGATGAGGTTTTGGTTTGGGTTTTGATTTAATATTATGCTCCATTTTATATATATTTATATGGTAAATAAATTACGCCTCCCTAAGTAAAATTAAATGTGTGTACGATATATACAAAGCTTACAAAATTTTTTAGAGTTGAGAATAATTTTTTATATACGGATAAAATACTAAAATAATTCAAATGAAAAAAAATAAAATGAAAAAAAAATAATGAAATTTGAGTTTACAATTTCACAATTTCACAATTTCACATTTCCCCTGTTTTCGATTCTTAAAAACGATTTTATAAAAAGATACACACAAAAAAAACAAGTAATGATCATTTGTGATGATCTACACAGAACGGCAATATTTACTCATTGTTGCTATTATTAGATCTCCAAAACTTTATAATGAATTGATTCTCTCTACCAGATAATCTTGTTAAAATGACCTAAAGAAAATATGTATAAGTTATATATGATATATATTATATATATAATTTTACACTACTAACTTCTGAATTGAATTGATATTTTTCAAACATAATTTCGCAAATTTCTTCAGGTTTATTTTGTTTAATTACTAATAAATAAAATATTCCTTTAATGGAAAGTAGATCCTAAACATAAAATATATAAATAATTTAATAAATTACAATAATAAATAAATTGTATTTGTGATTCATAAAAATTGTTTGTATTTACATCAACTAATATCAACATCTGATCAATTACTTCTCTTCCATTAATTCCGCCAGCCCAAGATTTGTCAAGAATATTATTATTATTTGAATTTAATTCTTCAGAATCAGTAACAACATACGGCGGATTAAAACATAATAAATCAATTGAGTGTTTAAGTCTTGGTAAAAGTCCTGATGTTAAGTTTGTTGTGATTGCATCTAATTGTATCTAAATTGTAAAATACGTGGGTGGATGGATGGATGGATGAGATTGATAAATAAAAGAATGAATAGTGAATTTGTAAGCGAGTGATCAATAAATTAGTGGAATAACTACAAGATTTTGGTGTCCAGTTTTAACCGTTATTGAAGTTGCATATGGGTTGATGTCTGTGCATAATAACAAAGATGTATTTTTATCAATTAACATTCCTAGAAATGTAGAAATACATCCTGAACCTGATCTTTATAAATCATGTTATATTTAATATATTTTAAATATTTTAAATAATTCTACTAGTGAGTGATAAAAATTCGCTAACCCAATTTCCAAACAAATGCAAGGTTTTAAAATACTTCTTAAGAAATTTTGTTCATTTTCTAATGCATCAAGGAATAAAAAGGTATCCTCTTTGAAGTATGTATATACACAAAATTTTAGTTACTATTTTTCCCTTATATGATATAGATTCGATTCTTTATAAATCTTATTATTAAGTAAAATATTGACCTGCTGGTTCATATACATAATTATAATCATTGCTTGTTATATGATCTAGATTTGGTGTTGGTATCATCTTCATTAATTATTGTTTGGAGAAGCAATTATAGAATTTGGGGGTACGCAGATCAATCATGGGAATAGGGGGATCGAGTTTTTTTTGCATATGTTTGCAGACTTTGATATTTGCAGGGATCGTTACTCAAAAAAAAAATTTATTATGTTCCTAACCATATTTTGCCATACATAAATGAATTTATGTCATTTTTAATGAATTTTTATTTAAATAAAATTTATCACCATTTCCACCCCTGATGATCCCTTAATCTTTTCCTTAATAAATTTGACCCCATTCCATTTAAATCTTTTTTTAATTAAAATAATTAAAATGTTATATTACTTACCTTTTATATATATAATTTTTTAATATTCCAAAAAAAGAAAAGGTTTCTTTGTATAATATTACCTCCTTAAATGAATACATTAATATTTGTGTTATATCTAAAAAAAATAGAGTTTGTGCAATGAATTCATTGAACATTTTAAAAAAAAGTGGGTGAATAACTACTGATAATCAATGTTTGTGTGACCGAATTGAATGAATTTTCTCGCATTCTTAAATTAATTGTTGCTCATATTTTGAAGAAAAGAAGTTGTATATGGAATTTGGTGAAGAGGCTGAAATTGTAAAAGATGACGGAGAAAAATCTAAAGGATCCATTTGTTGAGTTAATGTCTCTGAAGTTTCTGATGATGAATCTATTGCATCTAACTATACCATGCACTTATTGAAAATACAATGACCTCGAAAAGAACAAAACTTGATCCACTTTTATTTGAAAAGATTGTTTTATTTGAAAAAAAAAAAATTATCAATAACTTTGATAGAATGTAAAATTAAAATGTTTTATTATAATGAATATAATCATTCAAATAATTAATTTAAGATCAAATGAAAATCTGAATATTTCAAGTGATTATCTGAATATTGAACTTATTAATTGAATGAATACAAAATGAATGAATATTCAGTGGTATGATCTCTACTAAAAAAAGAGTCAATACAAAAGAAAATCAAAGTCCGGCAGAATAGAAACACAAACAAGGTGATGGGTGGGCAATGTTAGAAACCATTGGTTCAAGTCTAGTTTAAAATTTATGCAAGATTTAATTTCCTGATTTGTTTATTTGCTTAGGATGGAGAATGATAATGATAAGAGAGGAAGATGATGGTGAAGAAACCAAAGAAGAAATGAATGTTTGATAAAAATGTTCAATACAAATTATCAGAAACTTGAAGTTCAGAGAAAATGATAAATTTATTTATCAATACACAAATGTCAAATTTTATATCATTCCCTCTTTTGAAAAAGGTTAATGATGACCTTATGGCATGAAAGATATGATACAATGGAGAAAATTCATGGTGGCATGGTGAGCTCTGAATTTATCGAAATTGAATTCTGGCTCTTTGAAATAAAATCTGTCTAGAGTCTGTCAAAGTCTCTACTATGTTCAGCATGTGATCTTTATCTTCCTCTCAAACCAGGCTGACTGTTTCCATATGGGCATTGATCACTGATGAGGATCAGCTTTCTCGATTACGAGTAACAGTAACTTGAGCATTTTGTGTGATGATTGCTGTTATCCCGACCTGTAGAGGTTTTGAAAATTCGCCAACTCATGAGGTTGAAAACTGGGTTGTTGTTTGAATTTTCCCTGAATTCAGAGTTTTGAGTCTTGGGTTGCTGTCATGTTGGTGACATGCCTACACACCAATAACCCTCTATAAATAACAAATTCAGTTGATTAAATAATAATTAAAGAAACAGAAAATTTATGAAAATGATTAATTTACACATAACATACCAAACAAATTCTGAACCATTTTATTTTACAGCTTTCCTCCCTGTGCTTGAAACGAGTTGCAGATTCTTGTTGCTTTGATGGATCTGGATGTTTATGCACACCTAATATTACAACTCTTCAAAATGCGACTTGGTTGCAGAGCCATCCTTACCATAGAGGTAAGATTGTTGCAGGCAACTTTTCGGCCAACATGTCAGCAGCCTTCTCTGGTCTGGGTGCTGTGAGAAAAGATTAGTAAAAATGTCCTTGACAATTGATGCAATCTTGATAAACTCCAGGGCATCTTGCCCCCTCCCCAGAATTCGGTTGCATCATTGTATCATCAGGCACGAGTCAGATTAGCCTTATGTACACGAGGAACGTGTGAATGACTGTAAGTGTTCAAGGAGGTGTGCGTGCTTCAACATCTGTAAAATTTCCGATAATCAGACATCACATATTGAAATGTTTCTTTTTCAACGGTATGCTGCCTTGACAACTTGTAATTAATTATAATATTAATAACGATTACAAAAAGCAAAAGAGAAATACCAATCATTCGTTTACTATGATGAGAATCTTATAAATTACCCAGCAAGTTCTGCTCTGCGTTTTGATTCCAATTATAATATTTGTAAATAAAGACACCATATTATATCAATGCAAAGTAAAAAAAGTACCTCTGGTTAATTATTAACACTTCTTCTTTAGGATAACCATGCCAAACAACAACGTTTTTCTAAATAAAAAAAAACAATCGTGTCAAAAAAGATCTTTGTACAACACCAAGTGCCAATAATAATAGCATAATGGACATTCGTTTTATCACTTTGTGACAAAATCGATCGTTGACTAAAAAACGATCAAATCAATCAAATTGATTTCAGTATGTTATATTAGAAACGAAAGTTTAAGGATTCTGTGATCTATTTATGTCAGAATTGCAACCTTTATTATTATTATTATTTATTTTATTTTTAATAAATCATTATTATACTGCAGGTAAAGACTTATTTTATATTCTCATTATACTTTAAGAAAAGAAATATTTATTTTTATATATTTATTTGATTTACTTATATTCAAATTTTTTTAACACGGGATGAGTAGGTTGTATCATATTTTTTCACAATGAGATAATATTTAAAAGAAGAGAAAAAATTAAAGATTGTTTAATATAAAAAAATGAAAAGAGTTTTTTAAACGATAACAATTACTTGAATCGACATCATGATTTTATGGGGAGATAATAAAGTAATGTAAACATGTTTAAAATTTATTCATAGGTTATTTATATTTACATTTATGTTTATATTCACGTCCAATTCATTTAAATAGGAAAATGACAGATATATATTATATAATAGATGATATAGTAATGAATATAAATCAACGATTTATGAAGTCAAAGAAGAGTAAATAAAACATTAGGCTGTATAATAAAAAACCTAGTCATGCATTAATGACATTCAGATGAAAAAAATAATATATTAATATTTATAATATTTATTTATAAACGTTATGATTTTGTTATATATACAAATTGACCAATAAAATTTGATTTTATGTGATAAATTTGTGATGATCAACAGCCAATGAAATCAAATGTCCACTATGCTATATAATAATAATACAGTCAAGTATTTTACCAAATTTGGAAATCGAATCTAGAAAAATTGGAACCCCCTTGTTGATCAAT